ATCGCATGTGGGGTGTGTTCACTTAATATATGCAATGACGTCACGAGGGCAAGCTTTGGCAAGATCGGGTGAAACTTGCTGATTAGGCAACTTTTAGCGTCCCTCCATGTGTGTGATACAATAGAGAGATTAAGATTGGTTTACTATGATTGGATGTTTGATTTAACGGCCTTTATACAAGCGTATCCGTCTTGTAACAAGCATAATTCTACATTTGACAACGCTTAGGTCTGCATCAGCCATGGAGTGTCTACACGGTTAAGCTGCGTCTTACAATTTATTGGAAGGAATATATGGGAATGCAGTCGCACAAGAAGTTGAAAGGCTTCGTGTGGAATCCTGTAATGGTTGTCAAGTCGGTTATCTTGGCCAAGGGCAACATGACTGCCTCGTGATGAACGGAAAGGAATGTTGGCAAATGTATGGTGTACAAGCGATCGAACTATTATGGTTTGGAGTGAATTCGCTGAGGCAATGCATGAGGGTACTTAAACTGAGGGTTGACAGAGATGTACTCGAACATTTACAGCAATTGGGAAAAGATCCAGATTCTACGTTTGTCGATTCACTGAAAGCCACGAACTACAGTGTATGCTGAACTATTTCTCCCATTGGAAACAAGAAGACCCACTCGAGTCGATAGCTGAAACATTTTTTTCTTACTTACCTAGTTACATGTATTCTGCGAAGGCGACGTGTGATGAACGATTTAGAAGTTTTGAGGCAGATCATAAGAAAACTTATAAAGAAGTCTTGGAGAAAAAACTTTTAGAACAGTTGTAATATATTTTGCCATAAAAAATGTGTTTTTATCAAATATGCGGTCGTTATATACGTTGCTATGAACATGTCACCAGTCATTAATTAGCGACGCTTGGGTGCATGCATATATTAATGTACAACATATTTGTATGCTAATCAGGCGGGCAGAATATAGGCAAATCGCGCGGGTGGGAAAGAGCATTAATAATCAAACTGTCAAACTATGTTATTGTTTGGTCGCAAAATTGCAAATACGGTTTATTTATATAAAATATGTCGAAAGAAACGTCATTGAAAGTTTCAATCAGGCCCCCTGAATAACGACAAGAGGTAGAAAAGCAAGCGCGGAAAATGTAAATGACCAATGTCTTCGGAGAAATTATTTATTTAAGGCAAGCAAAAGAAACGATTACGACAGACTTGACAGTGGCAAAATCTTGGCCGAAATAAGTCGAATTGTGATCAGTTCATTTAGGAATAGAAGTTAGTTCTACCTTGGAACAATTCAACAAGTTTGTAAACCATGTGGGCGAAAGATCCAAAACGCAAGCGACCTGATTGCAATAAATATCAAATTATCAAACGAGACATAAACGCGTCTGTGTACGTATTGCCTGTGTACGTATCGAACATAGATCTTGTATATTAAAAACCTCAGTTGCCAATATAAACTGTCTCGTCTCCCGAACGAATCCGTGTGGTAAAGAAAGCCTTAAAAAGTTCAGAAAGTGAAGCGGCCAATAGGCCTAGGCCCTAGGCCCTAGAAAAATCAATCAGTGGCACCTTGTACAATTGGGATAAAAAATTGTCCATGAGCATACAGGGCATGTACCCAAATGGGAATGTGTGAATCTTTGTTACAACTGTTACAAGCTGTGTCCACGTCTTCAGACTCATCCTCGAATTTACCAGACTGTGTATCCACATCATGTAGTGGCTGCGTGTGGGCTAGCATTGTAAGGACACGTCCATTTACGATTAGGCTTTTATCAATTTCCAATTTTGCAAGACCTTTAAGAAATATATTCAGTCCAGCCGGTTTGAAATTTCAGTATTATATGGTAAAACAGTATACTGCAAAAGATCTACAATATTTGTTCCACGTATATTCTGTCCTTTGTATTACAATTTCCCCTTGAAGATTCCATGTCAGAATATCCATGGATGTGAGAATGCAGTGAAGAACTTCTTCAGTATTGTTTTTATCAACATTATCGTCAACGCGCCAATGTCTCGGACATGATCTTTCCTTGCTGTCCATGGTTGGAATGACGATGTGAATTAATGATGATTATTTTATACTAATTCTGCAAAGCCCTCTAAAATTGGCGCAAGTAACAATCCTAGAAAACCACTTCCGCGCTGCACAAGAATTTTCCTTTCCTCTCGAAAACTCCTACTTCTGTCCGTTAAGTCAGCGAGATCGTCTTTAAACGGTCCAAGTTTGTTCGATGTGCCTTTAGGATATATAAAGTTTTCCAAGCAATTACATAGAAAGCGAATCTGTTAATGAGATGCAGAATTCAACAGAGCTTTCTGTTGAATTGGATGAGAAATACACAAGAGATCCACAAACGGTCTGTGTTTGATATAACTGCTAGCCATCTCTGTTCGGCGGTCAACAACGGAATTAAGACTTAGTTGGAAATAACACATATATAAGGGTCGGCTCGCCCTTTATAGACTACATCTAGACTATAGTCTTAATAGTTTTTACTATAGTCTTAAAGTCATGACAACAGTCTTAATAGTCTTCACTATAGTCTTCATAGTCATGACTATAGTCTTAATAGTCATGACTCGAGTCCTAATAGTCATGAGAGAATAGTCTTTACTATAGTCTTTATAGTCTTTGTTTATAGTCTTAATAGTCTTTACTATAGTCTTCATGGTCATGACTATAGTCTTAATAGTCTTCACCATAGTCTCAATAGTCATCACCATAGTCTTAATAGTCATGACAATAGTCTTGCTAGTCATCACCATAGTCTTAATAGTCATGACTATAGTCTTAATAGTTTTCACCATAGTCTTAATAGTCATGACTATAGTCTTGATAGTTATGACTATAGTCTTAATAGTCTTTACTATAGTCTTAATAGTCTTTTCTATAGTCTTCATAGTCATGACTATAGTCTTAATAGTCATGACAATTGTCTTAATAGTCATCACCACAGTCTCCATAGTCATGACAACAGCCAACAGAATAAATATACCTCTTCACCTTTGCTTTAAATCATTTTACTCCGACGCTTGAGACGTAAACATCTCTTATGAATGCGACATCTACGGTAAAACGTCATAGTCATGACAACAGCCAACAGAATAAATATACCTCTTGATAGTCATGGCTATAGTTTTAATAGTCTTCACCATAGTTTTAATAGTCATGACTATAGTCTTAATAGTCTTCACCATTGTCTTAATAGTCACGACTATAGTCTTAATAGTCTTGACTGTAGTCTTAATAGTCTTCACCATAGTCTTGATAGTCATGGCTATAGTCTTAATAGTCTTCACCATAGTCTTAATAGTCATGACTATAGTCTTAATAGTCTTTACTATAGTCTTAATAGTCTTTTCTATAGTCTTCATAGTCATGACTATAGTCTTAATAGTCATCACCACAATCTTCATAGTCATGACAACAGCCAACAGAAAAAATATACCTCTTCATGTAAACATGTCTTATGAATGCGACATCTACGGTAAAACGCTTGCAATTGCGAGTAATCTCCTTCACCACAAGAAAGTTGTCCATGCATATGGAAATCGTAATCTTGGGCAACAAACTCTTACGGTGAATGGAGTTACAGTCATGCAAAACCCTTTCACGTGCATCGTAGCTGGGTGCACGCAAAGCGGCATTATCGAAATTTGTCTATCATCTATATTGTTCAAAACATATTGGGAAATCTCAGCCTTAATGCTCATTATATCGTGTTGTCCAAATCACCAAGAGATAAATAGTAAAGTTCTATGCTTGCCAGACAAGTAAATCCCGCGCGAGTGCAATAGTTTATGAGGTTATGAACATGCCACAAGCCGACCTCATGGGTACTTGATGTACTGTTAAATAAACAAGCAGGAGTGTTTTATTATTTTTAAAGTCACGAGCGCGCAGCGCGAGTGGCTTTAGATCTAATAAAACACGACCTGCGAGTTTATTAAACAGCTTCAAACACGACTACAATTTCAATAGATATACCGCCTTATTAGTATTCTTTATATAAAAAATACTAATGAGGACACGACTACAATAGATACTGCCTTATTAGTATTCTTTATATAAAGAATACTAATTTGGAGTGTTTTATCAGGTTTAATGCGACTGCACGTGACATATTATTGTTCACATGATTTGACAATAAGCTTATGAATTATTAATGAATATTTGAAGTTGGATTTAAAGCCAACAACAGACGACCAACAACGACTTAAGACGAACATACTACCAGGGGAAGTTGACGCGTTAGTCGAGTATGTACGAAAAAAGTCGTATCAACAACCAGCACTTGTAAATGCAATGTATGATGCCGTGACTTGGCTATGATAAAACCGAAGGAAAGAGAGGGTTATGAACGTTTTTTACTAAACGAAAGACCGAAATATATTCCAATGAAGCATGAAGATGTTGCAAGATTATCACCTGAAGACAGACAAGAGTACGAAAACTCTTTAAAAATAACAAAAACACCCGAACGTTATGCTCTTAGAAGTAGACCTTAGTAAATTTTGTAAAACGTTTTGAAGAAATAAATGTATATTAAAACTGAAATCTTTTGCAAACCTTTGGCTGCAAAGCACGCTCTTTCCCACCAGCGCGATTTGCCTAACCCGCCCGCCTGATTAGACACCAACACAGAAAAAAATTTTACTTTGAGTTTAGAATTCAAAACAGTGCATGTGTGCCAATGGAGAAGTTCAGATTAGACTTCCGGCTACCGCTACCATTAAAGGACAATCAACCAATCAGATGCATTATTCGATTAACCAATCAGATGCCCCAAGCCAGTGGAAAGGTAGTTGTAGCGGTAATGGAAGTCAAATCTGAACCTCCCTAATAACTGATGAGCAGTCATCCCTATCTCACCTGTGGTTTGCGAGAAAATTAACTTGTTTGTGCGTAACTGGTGTATTATCTCATTTTGTTTGATCTGAATTCATCGAATATTATCTCTGATGTGGCAATAATTAGATCTACCATTGTTGGCTACTTATCTACCTTGCTTTTTAAGATAAGATCGTTGAATTTGGAAGTTATTTCATTGTACAGGTGAGTATTTTGAGACTTTTCTAAATAATTTGTTGTTCAAGCTAGTACAGCAAAACAAAAATCTCCTCTATATAGTAGGAGGTTAGAAAGATGATATCATAAGAAAATTATTGAAATGAAAAAATCTAATATATCATTACCAGAAGTTGGCAGCAAATCTAAAACTTAGCCATAAAATAGTGCATACATGTCTTAATTCGATGAATAAATTTGTCACTTCATGGGTATTGTAATTTCAAAGTTAAACTCAGTGTCGAGTTGATATTAAAAACAATCTCCTCGGAATTTCACATGATTGAGCTGAAATCATTACTAAATGTACTAACTAATTAATTAAGCTGATACACTGAAACTACTAGCTATGTTTATATAGCGACGGCTTAAGATTGTCCTTGCATGGTTGTCGTTTGCCCAGAAAAATTTTCTGGGAAGTTAGGAACTATAGGTTTACCAGGAAAATCGCCTATTTTGAATTGTTTCAACAATATTAACCGCATAATTTGCATTGCTACAGGTTTCTTCTTAACTATAGTAATCCTTAATATATCATAGCATCATATACTAGTCCATCACGAACGAAGAAAGGCATCTATAGGAATGTGTATTTAACGAATTTTCCTGCTACGTTTTTGGTTTCATTTTCGTTCAAGTTCAAAGGGGTATTATTATGGCACAGTGGGAGATAATTAAGTATGATTTTCATAATCAAAGATGAAAAGCCAGCAAAATGTGGTTAGAAAAGAATAAAGAGGATTTTTAACTAAACTGTATTTTTATTTCCTGAAAGCATTAAAGGAGTAAACATGCTAACAATTGACAGCGACATAATATTATAGCTAAGCGAGAAAAAAAGTTTTATTGTGATGTACCATTTGTAAATTTTCCAGTTCTGATTTAGAGTAGTCTTCAAAAGTTGTGTGCTTAACTTAAACACTATACATGTTTAATTCCCAGATGGGTGCTGGTAGCTCTACAAGGTCCAGATCGTCAAGCTCCAGCTCTTCAAGTTCCGACAATTCCGGCCGTGACAGCAAGAAAGATGAAGACTCTGATGACGACTGTGCAACAATGTTATTAGTTTGTTTTTGTTGTTGCTGTGGTTGCAGTTAATCCACATTTATATTCAGGCTTTCTATAATGCTATACAGTAAGAATTAATACCATGCTAATAATTAATGTAAATTCCATAACTTAAGACATAAAGCACATTCTCAAAGAAAGTGAAAAATGCTCTTCAGATCAAAACATGTAAAATTTTGAAAATACAATATATCAAATATTTTCAATAAAAGATGCGCAACAGCAATATCAGTTAGCGCTAATAAGGCAACTTTAGCCCATTTCTCGTCAGACAAATTATAGGTTGCCTCTTTAGATAAAATACGTTTGTTTTTGTTATAATTCCATTCCTGAATCGTTTCATGAGAACACTCTAACTAGTTGTTGCTGTTTTAACGCATTTGCGTCGCATCCGACTTCTTTCTTGAACTTCTTCTGACCATTTTCACATACTTCCTGCATGTGACGTACAACTGTTCCGTCAATTAGGAATGCCGGAGGAACGATCGAGAGAGCAGAGGGTAGCTGGCGGAGGGTGAGACGGATCCAAACTAACATCTGTGTACATGCAAGAAGAAGTACTAACCCATTATGAATATAGCGCCGCTGCTTGCAGTTCCGACACGAATTACACAGCTAAAAACGAT